GAGAGATAGAAGGAGAGAAGGAGGCACTGACCCGCCCACATGGCACATGGCTGGTGGCGGATGGCTCATGGGTTCCCTGTAAATATATTACAACACTTCTGCTGCTCCATCTGTGTATCTGAAAGATGTTAACTTCAGCTCCTCGTCATTTGCATACTTAACACCTTTCTGGAAAATTTCATCGGACAACGGGCACGGCTGCACTTGAGATCTCCCTCTCCATCACAAAGGAGGGTAGGAGACGGAGGCTTTTGTGTAATTAGAAAATCATCAAGTTGCAGCAACAGCAGCAGCAGCGGTCGTGGCAGCAGCATCGGCAGCGGCATCGGCAGCGGCAGCGGCAGTCGTGTGTTACTTTCAATTTCAATGCAAGGCCTCTCCTCTCCCATTCACATCTTCCCATTGAAATGCATGATTTGTATCTTTGTATCTGCGATACACTTGCATGCCCAGGGCATGCCTGATTCTTGAGCAGCATCTGTGTCTCTCTGTTCTTTTCGGGTGAGAGCTCTGCACAGATCCTTCCCTTTGCTGCTGAAACGATTACGATTATAAGCGGAGTATTGATTGGCGGATAGAGTATCTGCTGCTTCGGCCTCTGAATTGCATTTCTTTGTTTGGCTTTCCTTTTGGGGCCGCACCTCTGCTTCTGCCTCTGACTCTGACTCTGACGCTGGCTCTGCCTCGGAATGGAGCGCCTCCGCCTCTGCCATGACTTTGCATTGCACTTTGTGGCTATTACAATTATTGCCATGGCCATGGCTATTGTTATTGTTACTGTTATTGCTTTATTGTTGCAGTTTATTGCATTGTCGGTATTCGCCATTAGGCAAGATTTAGCCTCGCTCACTCTTTTCTCTCCTTTTGCATATCTATCTGCGAGTATCTATCTTTTGGATGCCAAGATTTTCCTCTTTTTGAATACCAAAAAATAAATCGATAAACTTTCACCCCGCCACAGAGTGCGCTGTGCTCCCATTAAAATGCCATTAAGATCTATCTTTTGATCGAATATTTGCCAAAAAAAAGAACAAAAACAAAATAGTAAAAGATACATCCCCACCCCCCTTCCATCGCTGAACAATCAATAAGCAATTGCCGCGCACTAATTACACTGATTAATGCCTTATCGCATTTAAACTATCTCACAGACCCTAAACAAACCAACAAAAAGGCGGAAAAACCCCCAACAAATTTCACTTTCTAAGCAGCAAAAAAAGGCAGACAGAAAGGCAGAAAGGTAAAGAGAGCTGAGACAACAGGTGAAATCTGTGGAGCTTCCTGTATGGGGCAGCAGGTAAAAAAGCGGTAAAATAAATGCCTTTACAAAAAAGAGACCCCAAGCGGCCGAACGCCGCGAACCCCAAGTAAAAATATATATATTAAGAATAATTATATTCGAGTGAAGATCTCTCGGGGAATTGGTGGCTCTTCTGTTCCCCATTTCTCCCAGGCGAAATTGATAAGAGAAAGAGAGCCGAGACCCATCTCCTCTCCATCTCCATCGCCATCCCCATTATGGGGCCTAATGTTGCTCAATTAAATTCATTGAGCTGCATAAGCACCTTGCTACCTTCCACCCAAAAACCTCCACCAACAACTCATAATTATGCAGATGTTGGCCATTTAGGGGGCAGCCTGACTGCTGACTCTTCCACTTGCGGGTGGGGAGGGGAGGGGATGGCTGGAGAGGAGAGGGAGGTATTGCATGTCAGTCCATGGCCCGAGGGCGAGGCCGAGGCAGAGGCAGAGGCCCAAGAGTCCACAAATCGCGTCTAATTAGTGACCCGCAAATGAAGAAATTTTTTGAACAAGAAAGAAACTTTAATACCTCTGAGGGTATGTTAGGGTAAAAGAGTATACCGTGTTCTTGTAGAATCTAGAAATATGGTAGGTATATCTTCAAAACTTCACCTTGATTGGTTATTGATTACGGAAGTATCGAAAGTGTTCGTTGAATGTACAACCTTCTCCTTCTCCTGTCGTTAGTAGAGGGTACTCTTGAGTCGCATTATCGACTAGAGCACAGCCCCACTGTTCCCCCCACTTACTACGGCTATATAGTATTTCTTAATAATTTACCTACAAGACATGCAACTTTGTTGTGTCTTCTTCTGGCCTTCAGGGCTAGTGGACAGTTCTTTGTGGCTGTCTCTAATTTGTTGTTGTTTGGATTTTAATGATGCGAAAGAAAGTCCACACACACACTACTCGTACACACAGAAAAGAAGTCAGCACTCTGTCCGTATCGTATTTTCTAATGATGCATATGAATCGTTTTCCTGCATATTTCGCTTTTGGCATGCAAATCTCAGGCCAGCAGCCAGCGGCTGTCCGGCCAATAATCGAGTCGAGTGGCAGAGGCTAATCAATCAATATACGAGTATAGCCAGGCACCGAGGCACCGAGGCACCCAGTCACCCAGGCACTGGGCTCCACTGCTTCGGGGAGGAGTCTGTGGATGGGATGATGGGTCATAAATATCGAAGATGCAGACACCTTAGCAGCTTCGTTTTTGTTGTTGTTTTTTGGCTGCTTTGCTGTGCTGAAAGATGAGTGAAAATAATTAGTTATCGACGGCACCTGTGCAACAGTAGCTGCCCCACGAGTCCCTCCCGCTGCGCCGTCCCATGAGTGATGAAAACTTTCGCCAAATAATGATAGTCGGTCGAAGAACTCCTTTGATAGATGGATTCTGCAAGGTGTTTTGGGGTCGTTTGATTGGACTTTTACGGGTGCCATGACTTTTGACAATTGAGAGATTATTGGACGAACTTGAGAGGAGGCTACTTCTCCAACTGCTCTTCCCTAGGAAAAGCATCCATAGAATACTTACTTTCTATTAAACCCAACACCAACTCTGGCTTGTAACCAACTTTTACGAAAGCAACAGCTTCTGGGGACAACTATCATCCAACTCCACTCCACTCCACTCTACAGAAAGAGGAGGCATTCTCTGGTGGCAAGAACCAAGATTGAGGACAGCGTGGAGTGGAGTGGAGTGGAATGGGAATGGGAATGGGCGACAATGAATTATTCTCTTGGCTGGCAATTTCGGTGCCTATTTGTCTGTCTCACCGTCCCTCAGTCTCTCTGTCCCTCGGTATTTCTGTCTTTGGGCAAAGTGAGTGAGTTTCATAGCCAGAGCCTAATGAAAAATGTCCAAAGAGAGCTCCTTAAACTCTAATTAAAGTTTCAGGTGTGTGTGTGTGTGTGTAAGTGCAGATGGTACACTAGTATCCCCCCCTCCCTTTCGAGTGTGTCTCCCCACTGAATGGCTGAAAACGAGCCAAAATAGTTGGATAGTTTGTGGATAGTTGGATAGGTTGCTAATGCTATAAACTGTCTTCAGGCTGTGCCCATTCTGTCTCTTTGTCTCTCCGTCTCTCTGTCTCTCCGTCTCTGTGTCTCTCCGTCTCTATGTTCTCCTTTCAAGTGCTGCTTCTGCTGCTGGCGTACAGCCAACGAGAGATCTTCTCTGAAGAGATCTTTACTGGCTAATTAGTTGCCACACTAAACGATTTTGAGGATTCCTAATGATTAATATAATATACGAGTACTCCGCACTCCGTGCCACATTTATGCATTTCGTGAGCACAACAATCTCCAGCTCCAACTCCAAGTCGGAGCATAATTCCCCAGAGACACCGAAGGCCTAACAGTTCGTTCTCCCTGGCTTTGGGGATTTGGTGCTTTGGCGTCTTGGAATCTTGTGGCCATCTTCCGGTTAAAGCCATAAAAAAGTACGTACTCTGCTTGTTTTTTTTTATGATTTACTTTGTTTTGTTTCGCACTTTTTTCCAGCACCTTTCTTTCTTTCTTGGTGGCGTTCCACAGAAATGTACTTTTTCTTTTATATGCATAATTCTTGATAATTTTTGTGAGAGGTTTTTATGGATTGTCGTTAATTGAATTTGTGGCAAGGTAACAACACAGCAGAGGCAGAGGCACAGGCAGAGGCACAGGCACAGGCCCTCCGTTTGCTCCCGGTTTTTGTGGCAGCTGCTTTCTAATCAACATTGCTCCAATGATTTGCGTTTTCAGCTGCTTAAAGCTCGGACGTTGATTCTGATTTAGATTCTGGTTCAGTTTCTGGTTATGTGGCTGCTTCTGCTTTAGTTTTAATTGTTTTTGCTTCAGCAGCGTTTAGAGAAAGAGGAAGCCACAGCATCGGAGGCAGTGCCACAGCGCCTGCCTCCCGATATGCCTTGCCTCCTCCTCCTCCTCCTACTCCTCTCTGCTTGAATAATTACGACAGAGCAGACGAGGAGCAGATCCGAGGCATGTCATGGCAATTTGGTCAAGAATTAAAGCAGCAAATGCTCGTATACACAGTTCTATAATTTTGCTGCCATTAGCTTCCAATGTAATTTTATAGCTTTATAATTGGTTTCTTTTTTTCGGTCAGAGAGTTGAGAGTAGTTTTCCTTATGTTTGCATTTGCATTTGCTCTGTGGCTGTTTTCTTCGGGATTTCCATTTGTGATTTCAATTTGTTTTTAATGGACTGGCAATCGAACGGGTTTTAATGGCTCCTAACATGTTGCGTATCCAAAATATTCCTCAAATGGATAGATTTCAATTAAAATTTGTTGATACTTTTATATATTTTTGTACACATTAGTTACATGAACGTTCTCCGAATATCTACCTAATCGTTACCTTACACAGTTTTAGAAGCACTGCATTAGTTCCGCAGCCGAATAAGAAACAGCCTGATAGTATGCAATGAAAGTAGCACTACCGCGAGGACTTAAATGGTCAGTCCCAAAAGTATGCAACAACTTTAGCCTTTCTCAGTATGTAAAACACATGTAGACTTGCATGTAGAAGCCATGTAGCAATGATCCACAAGTCTTTCCATAGAATCCAAAGAAAACAATCCCAATATCTAAATTAAATTCAAAAGATATGTACCTCAACGAACCCTGAATAAAAAAAACATTTATGTATTAAATCTGATTATGTTTTTTGTCATAAATTAAAGTTTATTCTTGCCTTTTTACAACATTTCAAACACAAATCTCGCACATTTTTCGTTGCTCGTTTTTTTTTTGTTTTTCTTGATACAAATAAATCTTTACAAATTATATAGAAAAAGTGTGGATCAGAGGGGACGAGGAGAGGCGTCAATATACGATGTGCATACAGATATACATATATAAAAAAAAAATTGATTACATGGTTTTTCTTTAAAGAAGGGATGATAGCATAGTAGAAGCCTTTGTGCAATTTCTAAATTAATTTCATATTTTCGCACACAAAAATTGAACTCTCAGCTGCCAGAGTTGCCACAGTTTCAAACTGTCTATGAATTATGCAATGGAATGGACATGTATCCCTAAGATACAAACCCCTACTCTTTTGGCACACACCCACATCCACATTTCCGGTCTCCCTTGCTCTTTCTGCTCCTTTGCTCTGTTGCTCTTTGAAATTTAAATTATATCGGAAACTGTGCTTTAGTTATACATTTTCATATATATATAAAGTATATACAATTTATGCGATGCGATACGATGCGATGCGGGATAATTACGAGTATAGTTTGTTGCTATTTTACATATACATACGAGGAGGGTGCGGTGCGACCCGACCCGAACCGACCCGCCCGACCCTCTTCTGGTTCTTTCTTCCTTTTTCCGTCCATAAATATTCATTACAAATTATTTGTATAACAAACTTTTCGACTCTTAAAACTAATTAAATATTTATATCATACGAAAAAAAAAAACACACGCTACGCTTCCTTCCTTTCGTTTCCGTCCTTCCTTTCGTCCTTCCACAAAGAACTTTACACATTCGCGAATATCTTTTGTAATTGAATTTTTAGTTTTAAGTTTTTCTTTCATTTTCTTTCATTTTAGTTGGTATTTTGGCGAGACTCAATTGGCTCAGTCGGTATGGTATCTATATATAGTAGCTGCTACTCCTGGCTTCTTCCTTTACAATGGTTTTGTGTGTGTGTGTCTGTGTGTTGGGGTGTGTGTGTGTGTGGCTGTGGGTGTGGAATGATTCCATCGATCCTTGGGGCAGGGAATTCCTGGGCTGGGCTCCTCAATCGTTGGCCATGCAATACCCCGAATATGTCTGTATGTTGTCCTCCAGGAAACTCTCTCCGGCTATGACCCCCGACTGCGTATGGTGGCTGGGGCAGCGGTGTCCCTTGGGGCACTGGCAGAGCGAGTTGATGTTCACTTCGTCGAGGAACTCCTGCCGCTTCCGCACCGTGAAGAGCTTGCAGGGCTGCTTCCTCTGGCATCGAAGGCGCTGTTCAAAGAGAACGGAATGGAATGCTTAGAAGAGATATATATATTTTCGAATGGGGCTACTGGATCTTACCGTCAGAGGAGAGCAGGCAAAGAGATAGCGATAGCCGGGACTGCCATCGCCTATGGGTTCCCTCTTCGTGAGGTACGTCACCGAGTTCCTGGGACACCGACAGTGGACCACCTGCTCGGTGACATTCGCCTCCGCTGCCGTGGTCAGTGTCCAAGTGTAGTCCCGAAAGTGTCTGTGGAGAAAGATCGATAGGGATTAGTAGAGATTCCTGCCAGTGGGAGATCTCGTTGGACTCACTTGCACACGGGCAATTTGTGGACTGGCTGGCACATCTTGTAGTGGCGCGTCTTGTCCGCTATGGTGTGGCCATCCTCGACGCCCAGGCTGCTGGGACAGCCGCCAATGTAGCTGGTGGGGGCCGCCTCCTTCAAGCCCCGATGCCCCGAGTGCCGCATGTGAGCGGATACTCGTGGGGGGTACTCGTTGTCCTCCACTTCTGCGTAGGGGGACGAGGGCAGGGCATCGTTGTAGTCCGGCGACTGATCGATGTGATCCAGATCCAGATCATTCTCGTAGACGGCCCCCAGCTTCTGCATGAGCTTCTTCATGTGCATGCTCTCGAACTTCTTGTCCTGGAACTTGCCCATGAGCATTCGCTTCAGCTGGAGCATCTCCATGTCGTAGTAGCTCCTGTACTTGGAGCCGCCATCCATGGCGGAGCCACCGGAGCCGGAGCCGGAGCCGGAGCCACCCACCTGGTGGCTGTGATGGCTGTGCAGGATTACATTGTTGGGCAGGCGATTCGACTCCGGGCAGCGGCACTGGCGCTCGATCCACGGGGTCTCGTACAGATCGATCTTGGAGCAGACGGCATTCGGTGCACAAACGGGCAGATCATCCTCAGAGTCCTGCAAAAGGGATGAGGATTGCGTGGGTTAGAGATTGTTAACATTCACTAGGGGGTTCACGGGGTTCAGGATTCACGATTCACGATTCGGGACTCATTGAATTGGTGAATGAATAAAAATAAACGACGCTCTGAATGGCTGAATGTGAATGTCCTACCCGAAAAGTTTCACTGTCAACAGAGTCCTTTCTTTGGCCACTCGGCGACTTGATTAACATAACTACAAGGACTCAATCGCTCTCTGAAGGCATCCTTCGGCTCTGTTTGCTTTTGTTGAGGGGTTCGGGTGCGGGTTCAGAGGATGTTCGGCATTTCATTAATTGAATTCTCTCCAGAACAGGACGAAAACAGTCCCAAAAGTTCGTCCAGGTTGTTTGCTTAATCCCCCGGCCAATAAAAACTTATGTGTTGTGTCGTCGTCCTGCATGCAGGCAGGCAGGCAGGCAGACAGGCAGACAGGCAGGACATGCCATCAAATCCAACTACCACACTGTTGAGGAGACGACACAAGACACTCTCGAGGCAAGGTCCTTTTCCTGCTACTACTCGTATCGTTCGATTTTATTTTATTGTAAGTGACTCTCGAACGGCGCAGAAACGACAGGTTTCCCAATGAAATTATCGAAAGCAATCAATTTTTTAAGTGGAACTCTGTCGCACCCCCCTCCTCCATTTGGCGGTGGCACATCCCTTCCATGGTTTTCCTATTCTTGAGGGTTTTTGTTTGGTTTCAATTTCATTTTCTGCGTCTCGTCTGCGTTTTTGATTTTTATTCAAATTATTCCATTATTTTTTCGGGGTTTCGATTCGGTGTTTTGGGAATCCCTAACTAACGCTGCACCTGCCGGCTATGCTACCTGAGAAGAGGGCACTGGGCTTAGGGTCAATCCATGGCTTTGGTTTGGTTTCGTTTCGTTCCTTCTGCTCCTGCTCCTGCTACTCCCGCTCCTGCTATGGCAAACCGGAAGTCCGGAAGTGATTTAGTGCAAGGCGGCGGCTCAACTGACGGACTGACGGAAGTAAGTGCGCACACATTGAAAAGGGATTAGCCTCGAGTCTGTGGCAGGGGCAGGGGCAGTGCCAGTGGCAGGGGCAGTGCCAGTGGCAGGGGACACCGGAAGTAGGCTAAAGCCAGGAAGAAAACAGGTTCTGCTTCTCTGTTCCTCTGTTCCTCTGTCCCCTGACCTTTTACCTTTTTGCTCAATTGAGCAGCAGCTCAATCACTCTCTCTCTCTCTCCCTCTCCCTCGCTCTGTCCCCGTCTCTTCCGGAAGTAGTCTGCCTGCCTTCCTTGTTCCTGTTTCTCTTTCTGTTTCTATTTCTCGCTCTCCTCCTTATTAGTTTTATTTACTTCCTGAATTTGTTGTTCCGCTGCTGCTGCTTCCTTTTTCTCATTTGTTTTCTTTGGACTCCTCTGCTCGCCTCTCCACTCCACTCCACTCCACTCCATTCTGGTTCTGGTTCTGTTTCTGTCTTTCCTCCGATTCCCACGCATTTTTGACCTACTTTCTGGTGGAGGCAGGCAGGCAACAGTACAGCACCTGCCTTTTTTGGGGCATGTCCTTCCTGCTGCACAAGTCCTTAACCCTTTCTTCACTGTTCTCTGTTCTCTGTTGTGTGTGTCCTCTCTGTTCCCTCGCTTTTGGATTATTCATATTTCAAGCAGAAGCAGAAGCAGAAGCTTCTGCAGGCATTGCTGAGATTCCTTTAAGGGAGGATCTACCCCCAGGATATGGCAGGATATGCCCCCTTGCTCTCTCTCTCTCTCTCTCTCTCTCTCTCTCTCCCCCCTTAAGCAGCGTGAGAAATTCTTTGAAATTCGAGCATGTTTATTGGGATTTCTGGAGAGAAGGAGCAGGAGGAAGGTCTCTTCTGGGTCTCTGCGTTTCTTGTGTGCTGTGCTGTCGATGGGGGGAGGGAGGGGGGATATGGCACTTCAAAGACACAACAACACACATCACCGTTATACTTTTTTACATATCTCTTAGAGAGGGGGAGAGGGAGAGAAATGCTTCATCGACATTCCATTGGCATTCGCTCATTCGCTCACGAGATGAAAAGGTGGGGCATGCCATGGATTGGAGTAGGGCCACAGATACACAGATACAGATCCACAGATAAACAACAACAGAATAAAGCACGAAAGTTTCTACAGAACCAACAACAAGAAGAAGAAGAAGAAGAAGCTCTGAAAAGTAGTAAAAGTTTTGCTCAAGCAAAAAGCCGAAAGAAAACAAAAGACGGAAAACACGAGGGGAGAGCCACCGGATTTCCGGTTTAACAGCTCCCCAAAAAAAAAAAAAAAAAAAAAAAACACCAAGCAAAGGGAGAGGCGAGGAGTCAACGGAAAGGGGCAGAGAGCGAGAGACAGAGAGATAGAGATAGAGGGGGGGCAGCAAGCGAAGCTGCTGCTGCTGCCACACTTTATAATTTGCTCGATCTCCATCCACAGCACGCGTGTGGGGCACAAACACAAAACGCCGAACACACACCCAGACGGAGAGAAAGGAGACAACAATTAGCTTCATGTGTCAAAGTGCAGTGCAAACGGAAGTTGAGAACGCGCCACAGACAATGAAAGAGTTGCCGTTGCCCTCTGCCCCCTGTGCCCCCTGTGCCCCTCTGCCCCTTGGCCCTCTGTCCTGTGTTCTCTGCCCCAAACAACAGCTGGACCTTGTTTCTCATATGTACAATATGTATGTGTGCAACGTGCAACGTGAGGCGGCAAGCATTGAAGAACTTTTCGACTTTTGTTTTCAATGGAAAGCCGCTGACTGACACCCCACTCCCCACCGCACACCCCACACCCCACACCACGAGAGAGCCAAGCGGGAATCAGTGAAAAGAGAAGAGAGTGGGAGATCCAGCAGCCAGGCCAGCCAGCTCTTTAATTGAATCACAATTAACCCCAGCACACCACAGAGGGCTACGGGGGGGCGGAGACGGCGGTGGAGAGTGTAAGGCTCCCCAATGGCATTCTTGTGGCTACTTCGAGCCTCATTGTTGTCATGCCTCATGGGGCTGCATGAATGCGCGTTGGAATGTCACGCAACGGAAGTGAGCAAAACTCTTGCCAGAAGCTCGAGGGGTAGCCGCCCCGGGGGGCGGAAGAGGAGTCTGTGGAGAGCTCTCGGGGAAAGCTGGAGAACACTATGGAGAACCGATAACCGAGACATAGACATGGGGCAGAACTTGCGAGAATGACTTACAGAATCTGCTCTAAATAGAGAATAGTAGTACTTGTTCCCAGGGAATAATCTACACAAAGATGCACCTGCTGCTGCTGCTGCTGCTGCTGCTTCCCCTATCAATAACCGAAGAGAATCGAAAGGACAATCAATGGGACATAAATTTCCCAACAGAAAGCGGAAGATGCTCTAAAGAGCAGCAACAGTTGGTTGAGGCATGGTTTTCCCCCTGCCCCCCCCCACCCCCGGGTATATCCCTATCTCCGGGGTTTGGGTTCCCATGAGGGCGTTGACGCACAGGCACAGGCACACGCACACCACGATCAACGTCCGGGGGAAAAATAGACGATTTTTTCCCGTGTATGCAGCATGCAGCAGCATGTGCGTGTGCGTGTGCGTGTGTGCAACCGTTAGATGATGATGCTGCTGCTGGTGGCAGCAGCCTGCCGCCTGCCACAAGTGTGTTGCACCACTACCTGATGATGCTGCCGCCTGCCCATGCCCCTGCCCCTGCCCCTGCCCCTCTGCCTCTCTGTGTTATCTTTTGTCTGTGCGTTAATGATTTTTCTATACATTTCCTTTTCACATTGTTTTTTTTTCCTTGGTTTTTTGTTAGAGACAGACAGAGAGAGAGAGAGAGAGAGGGAGAGAGGGAGAGAATTATGCAATCTGGCGTCGTCATGTGGCAGAAAGTAAGCGGAAGTATGCCCTGGCCCTGGGTATGGTCATCTCTCATCCCAATAATACTGCATAACATATTTCTTGCGATGGTTTCGTTTCCTCTGCTGTTTACACGAAAATTCAATTAAAAATTGTTAGAAACGGAAGTGGAAGAGGCAGCAGCACCACCGCCAGAGCCACCAGAGGCACCAGAGGCAGTGGCTATGGAAGAAGCCGCTTGCTGCGGAAGTAACACGGAAGTTGTTAGGTCACTCTTCATCTTCATCATCATCATCATCATCCGAGTAAGTCCCACAGAATTCCAATGAAAACTCTCATAGAGAAGGGGCAGAGAGAGAGAGCGTACGGAAGGGAGCGGCATCCGATAGCCGGAAGTAGAAAAGATTTTGTTCCTCACAAAAATAAGAAAAAACTCAAGAAAATACTTTGCATAGATTTCAGAGATTTCACATCCCAGATCCCAGATTGAAGCAATCGAAGAGGAATCGCCTCGAGGAATGAACGACCACAGACGACAGACGACAGACTGGTGGAGACCAGACCCCGTGCCACTTTTGCTTGCTGATTTCCAGCTCTCTCGCTGCCTCGCCTTAACGGAAGCATGCCCCGCCACCGCCACCGCCACCGAGGGAGAGAGAGAGAGCAAGAGAAAGAGAGAAAAAAACATTTTCATTCATAAAAAAGCAGAAATTCCAAAAGGAAGCAACGCAAAAGTCAAACAGACAGCAGAATTTACAAGAATGTTGAATGGCCAAAGGGGAAAGGGAGTAACCGAAGTGGGGAATACCCTGGGAATTATATTTGAGAGGCTTTACTTAAGAACTTAAGAGGAATGATTCCTAAAAAAGGAATGATTTGCAGACAAATTTATAGATTTTTTGAATCCTTTTGGATGGGTTTTTTACATAAATCTATGGAATATTTCGGAGATTAATACCTTTTACGCTCCCTCACAGCCGAGGAAGCCATAAAGGTGGATCCCACATCGCCTCAAATCCACTCCTGCCGTTCCCCAAGGCAAACTCCTTTGGGAACTCGTAATACTCCTCTCCGAAAGTCAAGGATTGTGGAGGGTATTTATCTGTGAAACTGGTTTCTCTCCGGCAAAAGCCAGTCAATTGCTGCAGCTGAAT